GGTGATCAACCCCAAAGTCGCTTCTTTTTGTTTATATTCTGAGTGACTTTTCTGAAATAAATATGTTCATACATTTCTTAAAAGTCTTAGATCAGATGGCCCTTAAATAACCTCTATCAGTCCATAATCACACAGAGAAATATAGTTGAAAATTTAGAGAAATGTAATCCTTTGTTATGCAATTACTTTAAATTAGAGTGTTCAGAAGAACATTTGGGGGTCAAAAATCATGCAACAAAAAGCATTCTAGAATTTACATCATATGTCAGCTGTTGATGGGTATAAGATGCAATATAGAAATATAGAATGAAGAACCTAAATGTACACATTTAATTCTCAGGAAATTTTATCTGTATAGGAGAAGAAGATCTAAGAATGTGGATAACTGAGACTCATGTTTGCCATTACACCATTTGCCTTATAACAGAAACTGATTATGGGGCGAACTACCAAATGGCTTTTTGATGTAACAAATTTCGCTCTCCCAAGCTAAGTTTTTAAGCTGAAAGTTATATGTTGTGGTATATATACTTACTTAATACTGTTTCTTATGCAGAGACTAAGACTTAACACATATTTTATTATAGAGCCCTAAGGCAGAACTCTCCTTTATTCCTGATCAGTATATTCTGCACTTTTCCCCTTCTTGTTCTTGCTACTCTACGCAAGCAATAAACTAAAGCATAGGGCTCCTTTTTTTTTTTTTTTTTCCCTGTAGTTGTTGCTATAAAACCCTCCTTACCTTAATGCATCAGTATTTTAAATAACGTTGCCATTGATGGCTTGGCTTTATTTTACTGCTGAGATTTTTATTTTTTTTTTTCCCCAAACAATTTAAGAAAGCACTGGTTCTCATTGTATAGAGTTACACAGGTATTTTTTTCAATGTGTGTTTTCTGAGAGGTTATGCCATGAAGAACTCAGCAGACAAAAAGTCTCATTTCCTCACAAGATAAGTGAGGCACTCAATGCAGCTTTCGTGTATATTTACAGCAGTATGTGATGATCCTACTCTGACTGAAGTGACCGAATAGTATCTGTCTTGAGGCATTGCTGGGATCCATGTGTGGTAAAGATTTTCTAGTGGCCTGAGAGCATCAGCCCACTATATTGTACACTTGTATGCTTGTGTTCAGTAGTGACCTGAGCATCATGGACTAGTAACAGAGAGACAAAAAGGGTTCTTGTACTCTATTTTGGTTTCAAAAAACTTTATCCTACCTAGCAACTTTTTGAAATCATTTCCATATACTCTTTTTTCTTAATTTGTGGGTAGTGAGGCCCCAAGTCTTTCTCTCTAGTCCATGGAATGGACTTTGTTTATAAGTGGCATCACATTACAAAGCCAGGCACATAAGTTTCATAGTTTAAAAATAACGTTGGATCAACATTTTTACTACATTGGTTTGTTATCTCCTAGCCTTCTGATAGTGCCAATTTTCCTCACTGCTCTGTAACAAACATGGAATAGTTATCCGACCTTTGTTATCCCATTGTTATAGTTTACACATTGATAACCATTCTGTGAGGTATGAAATGTGGACCTACCCCTGCTGCATTCCCTGAAATAAAGAGAAAAGGAAAAAACAAGAAAGAAACGAAAAAAGAAACCCGGCTCCAGTAACCATTAAATTGTAGGGTGATCTAGAGATAAAAGCAGAATCTCTTTTTTGCTTTTCAAATATTTGCCTGGCCTTCAAAAGATATTTGCCTTTTGTGTTTACACTGGATTTATTTTTTTGGCCTACATGCAGAAAGAGAATGATATAGTAAAGAACAGTGGACAATAGAGAGTAAAATGCTCTTAGCTTTCACATCTAGCCTGTATTTTTTACTTTTGGTTTATTTTTTTTTAATCTTGTGTTTAATTTAAGTAGAAACAGCTAAGTATTGTAAAGGGTTGTAAATGTGAAAGTATCAAATGAAGTACAGTACAAGAAGATTATCTACAGGTTGGCAGGCAGTAATGAGAGTTGGCAAAGTGCCATTTTCTACCACGAACCTTTGGTACTTCAAGTTATTCATCTGTGTGGCAGAACAATGTCAGGCTTCAAAAGCCAGTGTTCTGTCATTTTCAGAGCTGCTTTTTGTTGTTCCTGAAAGAGGCAGGTGAGGTTTGCATCTGTAAAGTTGTATAAATCTTCAACAGGGCAAAAAGAAAGATGTTTTGGTCAAAATCTAAAGTCTGTGTTGTATCATCTTCAGTTCTTTCATTCTGGACGGTATTAAGGCCTACTTGGAACCTGCATTGTCCCCTGTGGATTTGTTTTTGTTGAAAGAGGAGGCTTTCAGCAAGTTCGTATAAAATATAATTTGATGTAAAAGCTCATATTCAAGGGAAGCACTGCTTTGGGACAGTAACCTGTCCCAGAGTTAACTTCTCTTTTGCTCAAATCATTCCTTTTGTTGTGTTGCACACTAGTACTGCAGCATCAAGATGGTTTTGTTAAAGTCTTGAGATGGAGGTGTTTCCCAAATCTACATACTGTAATACTCAACATTTTTTGATGCCGCTAACTTGAAAACAAACATAACCCAATGATTTAATTGAAGTATCTTGATTAACGTGCTTTAGACCCATGTGCATTTATAATGTATAAAAAATATATCTCACCACAAGTATGTCATAAAGCTCTTAGTATGTTACAGTTTGTGAAAATTACAGTCAGTTAATAATGTGTCAGCTCCCCACTGTGTGCTTTGTAGGATACTGAATGGGTGTTACATGATTTATTTGCTGGATTTTGCAGGTTTTCTGTAGCGTATCAGATGCCTTGCTGATTGCTTGGTGAAGCCTAGAGCATGAGCTCCCTCCTGCAATGTTTACTTTAAGTCAATCTACATTTGCTTAAAAGTATGACAGTCTTAAAATCAGATAACCTCCTCCAAACTTTCACAAAAGCCTCTGTACTTTTTACTGAGAACGTTGTTTACAATTTAGATGTATGTTTGTGTGACAATCATAATTTACTTCATAGTTCTTAGAATTACAAAGAATGGATTGTTAATAGAACAAATGTCATCTTGCTAGAGTGATAATAATACTGCAATTAATGTATATATTTTTCTGGGATTTGGGGGTGTGTGGAGATGTTACTTAATTAATTTTTATTGACACTATCCATAATAGAGTTAGAATAATACGTATTCATAATACAGTCCCTCCTTTCACCACTTTCACTCATGTATGTCCTTGACTTCTTATATCTTCTCATTCTTTAATTAGTAGAGAGAACTGATATACGATATTTATAAAGGTGAAGTGTTGTTTCCCACCTACAGATTTAGGAAGTGGTAATGCCCAGTTCAATGTTAAGTTCTCTTTATTCATTACCTTTCTGGTGATTTTTTTCATGCTGTCTTTTAGGATTACAGTTTCTATTTAAATGTTTGCATTCATGTCCTACAGCACACACACCTGAAGATTAGTTAGAAGGTGTAGAAATACCTGTTTTCAAAAAGTGTAAAATTCTGAAGACAGTTGATGGCTGGAGGTAAAATTTGTAGGAGTATCAGGATGGGAAGCCATTTGAACAATGTGTAGGTCTCTGTGGTGCTCCAATGTACTGCCATATAGTATGTTATGCCAGGATAATATGGTTTAAACCAGATTGGTGGATTTCTGTGTGACTTCATGATGCATCTAACACCAACTTGTATAACAGTTGGATTTAATAGGCAAAGAAATCAAAGGGAGTTTACGAGAAGAGAAATTGTGTAGGTTAATGATTTAAGAATCAAGGCTCTTCTCCAATGTTAATAAAGGTTTCTGATGTCATTCCTTTTCTTGCTGTAATGTACATTATTGAAATAATTTGTATGTTTCTGTATGCTTCCATGTGCTATCTTGAATGAGGTATATGTTTATTTCTGGCTTTCACATTAAAATCTGTGAACACAGCAAGAGCTCAATGAGTTCTAGCAACAGCAGTCCTATAATACAAAGATTCTGAGAACTTCCTGGAAAATGGAAGGAGTTATTCATCTAACAAAACTAACAGATAAAGAAACTTGACAGAGTTGCAAAAAATCATTCCGCAAAGGTCACGTAGAGTAGATTAGACCAAAATCAAAATATTTTGGGGACAGCTTGGGATTTTGGGAGGTGGTTAAGAATGAGCTTTAAGAAGATTTTGTTCTGATTTTGTTTTAAGAAGAGTTTGTTTTGAGATGCATATTTCAGATCTACCACTTTGTCTTTGTTTTATATCTGATGTGCAATAAAATCATGTGTATTGTGAATTATAGGCTGTAATTCCCTCTCTGGTTTCTACTGATAGAGTATATCAGGAGAGTGAGACAAGAAAAATTTTCATCTTCTCCAAATAATTATTGATGGAATTATAACCCTATTTCCTTTCTGTCCCTCTTTCCCATTTTGTGTATAATTATGTAGGCAAAGTAAGTGTGGTAGCAATTTCTAGAAGTAATGTTAAACGTTTATGTTTTAAAATTTCTCTTAATTTACACTTTCTCCGAACTCCATTCTTAATTTAAAATCTACCTGTGTTGCCTTTCTTATAAATCTGTATTTCTTTTGTGTTGGTTTATTTCAAAATATTAGGGTACTGTGGGCAGTGTTTATGGAGCTATCCTATAGTGTTTTTAAGCATATGAAAATAGAACCATAGAATCATAGGATAGTTAGGGTTGGAAAGGACCTTAAGATCATCTAGTTCCAAGTAGGTTTTTGTGAAGATGCAAAGAATGACACAGGAGAGTACACTGGATGATGAGTGATGTGGCTAATCCTGTTGTATAGACTGGAATCTGAACCAGCCTTTCAGACAGCAACACATGTTGTAAGGCTTCAGACAGCTGGCCACAGCTTCCACTGCTGTGCTTGCAACAGCTACATACAGGCAGGCTGTGGAAATAAGAGATCTAGGTGGTATTGCTTGCAAGACCTCTGTGTATCTGTGAGATCTTTCTGGTTCTGGAAAAAACAAGGTACCCTCATGGTCAACTCCTTATGGCTTACAAAAAGGGTTCAGCGGTAACACAGAATCACTGAATCACAGAATGGTAAGGGCTGGAAAGGACCTTAAGATCATCTAGTTCCAACCCCCCTGCCATGGGCAGGGACACCTCACACTAAGCCATGTCACCCAAGGCTTCACCCAATCTGGCCTTGAACACCACCAGGTATGGGTTATTCACAACCTCCCCGGGCAACCCATTCCAGTGCCTCACCACCCTAACAGGAAATAATTTCTTCCTTATATCCAATCTAAACTTCCCCTTTTTAAGTTTTAACCCATTACCCCTTGTCCTATCACTACAGTCCCTAATGAAGAGTCCCTCCCCAGCATCCCTATAGGCCCCCTTCAGACACTGGAAGGCTGCTATGAGGTCTCTGCGCAGCCTTCTCTTCTCTAGGCTGAACAGCCCCAACTTTCTCAGCCTGTCTTCATACAGAGGTGCTCCAGTCCCCTGATCATCCTCGTGGCCTCCTCTGGACTTGTTCCAACAGTTCCATGTCCTTTTTATTTTGAGGACACCAGAACTGCACACAGTACTCCAAGTGAGGTCTCACGAGAGCAGAGTAGAGGGGCAGAGTGTTAGTTGTATGCAGCATGAAATGGTAATTTTCTTTCTGTCTTGTATTTTCCCTTGTTTTTGATGTATTTGCCTGTAGCTGTATTTCTTTGTGGAAGGTTAATCCCAGTGTTCACTAACAGGCCGAAATGGCACACTGCTGGGACACCTCCTTGTTATTTTTATGGCATTTCTGGCAAATATAGAGGAGGTGCTGAGCAGATACTCAGTTTGTCGGGCACGTTAATTTGCCTTTCACTGGTCTAAGCTTAACCTGGTCTCTGTGCTCATTTCAAAGTGCTGAGTCCTTCCCTTCTTCTCTCTTTCCCTCCCCACTCTCTGTGCCCCCAACCCAGTGCCTGGTAAAGCCACCTGGAATAGCCCTAATATTTGACCCTGTTACTGGCCATTCAGAAGGATGAGTGAGAGTGGGTCTGTAGCCTCAGCCCCTCTTTTGAAAGGCTGGTTGGAGTAGAGGCTGTTGGAGTGGGTAGGTGTCTGTAGTATGTGAACTGCAGAAATGGTGGGAAATGTGGACCCATTCCCATTGGTGACCCAGGACATCTGCCTAGTAAAGCTGCACCTTAAAGTACCTTGAGTGAAATCCTAATTTTGCTGAAGTCACTGGGCACTTTTGCATTAATTTTACTCCAGCAAGGATTTCCCAGTAATTTTTATTTTGCAGCTGTAGTGGCGAGGGGGAAACCCTGAACCAGGATGAATGTGACTTCATATTGTGAAATACATTCTCTGCTAGTTTCATCCTTGCCTTCCTCCCATCTGAATAACTGTAAATGATGTTCTCTGTTAATAAGTGTGTACTTTGTCTAAATTGCGTGTATTTTTCTTTTGACATACATACCATGTTACTATTAATCATCCTCTTCTGCTCTTTACTGTACAAAGACACTGTTGTGCTGATGGAGCATATTTAATCTTTGGTATGTTGTATTTTAGTTCTATTGTTGCTTTCTCATTTCTTTATGGAAAACCTTTCTTTATTGACTCTTAAATCATGGGTTAAGCCCTTATTGAAAACATGTTCAGTATATACTTGCTAGAGAAAAAAAAGTTCTTTTAAGGTTATAGGCTAGGCTTATACAAATACTTCACTATACAGTAAAATTTCAGAGGTCTCCTATATGTTATCTAAAGCTAGATACATACCCAATTACTCAGCAGCACATCATAAAAGAGATGCATGCTATGTTCATGTCTGTCAGTGCCTTAAGTCATCAATGTACAGCCTTTTTTAAATTCTCTTTTTATTGAAACCAAGAAACAAAACAAAGACAAAAAAAAAAAAGAAAGCAAAACCAACATCAATTAGATGTCAACACGACACCAAACAGCATAATATATCATAAAAATAAATGTACGATCTGGTGACTCAATGATTTCTGTCCATATGGCGTTTACAGAGAAGTAAAGAAAAGGCAAATAGCTATACATCTATATAGAGAAAAATATCCAATATAAAATTGGCCATACTGACAGCACTAGAAAGCTCTCAGCTTTCTAGTGGAAATAAATAACACGCAGAAGAGACGTGAAGTTCCAGCAGTCTCACTCTTACATGTATTTAGAATTTTGTGCAGTGAGCATTGTTCAGGCATATATATATTTAGAAAAATTACTCTAAGGATGGAGATATTCTGCTTGCTGCGATAGGTACAGGTTTATAGATGGGTGTGTAGAGTAATGCTAAAGTGAAATTGGGGAAAAGAAAGAAATCTTTGGAAATAAATGTAACTATCTGTTGAAACTTAAAATGAACACTGACTCCAAACCTATTTCTGTATTTGCTGAAAGACATATGAAAAAGCCTCTTTGTATAAGTGCTAAGCACATAAAAAACACTGAGAATCATTTAAGCCTCTAAAATAATAATCTGGGAATTCCATTTATTATCATAGTTAAGGGCATCATAACTTTATGGTACACAGGGAAGGGTGGAAGAGAGATGAGACTGTGGAGGTGGGAATTAGGGAAAGAAAACCCAGAAAAATCCAGAATCAAACACGGCCTCTGTTATTTGAATTTGTTGCTCATTTTCAATGGAGTGATAACTGCAACAGCTCAGCCTGAACTGCCTGGTTCAACAATTCCCTTTCTAAGGAATGTGAATGTGTTTCACAGCTTACACCTGGACAGGAGGATATAGGGGAAAAAGCCAGAAAGATAGATCACGTATTCTTTTTGTGTACTTAGGACTTCAATCTTGTACATTATAAATGCATGCACACACAAATAAACATATATGCATGTAGATACATACATTTATATATCTACACACACATGTTCATGTGTATGTAAATCCACATGGGATTTCTCCTCCCTTTGCTGTTAGGCTCAGTTCACAGATCTATCTCCTGTCTCTGCAGAGATACAAGAAGTTCCCTTCTGGAATTTTGCTCCTTTTGCCTACCCAAGTTGTCATTTTATACAGTGATACCTGAGATGTCTTTTTGTTAATCTTATTAGAAGTACAGTTATAGACCTCAAAGGAGGTGATAAGTAACCCATTTGACCTGGGAAATGGTACTTTCCATGTGAGCAGGGAATAAGTAATGAACAGCTTATCTTATCTTTTAGATTAGTGATAACATCAGTGAGACCACTCGGTCAATATTGTACATCTCATCTCATCAAAGCAGTAACAAAATACATTCTTCCCAGTAATTGCAACTGGCTATTAGGAATAGTAAAAAAGAGTGTATTGCAGAGCCAGTGGAGAGAAGCAGCCCCTGAGGGTAAAATAGTAGTACATCGAAACCTCAAAGGAAATTTAAGAAGGGATGGTGTGAGTGTGTGCGTGTATGCATTTAAGTCTGAAGCCAGAAAACTATGAAGGCTATGTGGAACATTTCCTGGAGCTTACCGCTAATAAACATGGTGGGATTGTCAGCCCTGTAGTGTCCATACCTTCCTTCTGGGCCTATGCCAGTGCTCCTGCAATCAGCAGATAGCGGGATAGGACATCGTAACTGAAGGGCATGAGCTACTTACTGTATCCTCCTGCACATATTTGAGTACTCTCCCAGCTCTATGTTTGCCCTGAGGAACAGAAAGTATTCCTGTGCAGTGCCCCCCATTGTTTGGATGTCACAATGCAGAGGACTAGGGGAATTCTATTTCTGCCGTTCTGTTTTGTCCTTGCCTCTTCAGTCTGTGAAAGGTTAGGAGTGGAAACTAAATCATAGAATCATCAAATAGTTAGGGGTTGGAAAGGAACTTAAGATCATCTAGTTGCAACCCCCCTGCCATGGGCAGGGACGCATCACACTAAACCATGTCACTCAAGGCTCTCTCCAACCTGGCCTTGAACACTGCCAGGGGTGGAGAATTCACAACCTCCCTGGGCAACCCAGTCCAGTGCCTCACCACCCTTACAATAGAGAACTTCCTCCTCACATCCAATCTAAACTTCCCCTGTTTAAGATTTAACCCATTACCCTTTGTCCTATCACTACAGTCCCTAATGAAGAGTCCCTCCCCAGCATCCCTATAGCCCCCCTTCAGATACTGGAAGGCTGCTATGAGGTCTCCATGCAGCCTTCTCTTCTCCAGGCTGAACAGCCCCAACTTTCTCAGCCTATCTTCATACAGGAGGTGCTCCAGTCCCCTGATCATCCTCATGGCCCTCCTCTGCTCTTGTTCCAACAGTTCCATGTCCTTTTTATGTTGATGACACTAGAACTGCACACAGTACTCCAAGTGAGGTCCCATACACTAATTTATTTCGGGTGAACTAGCAGTAAAGCACCAACTGTCGTATCCTATATTTTATTTAAGTGGCATACATTGAACATGATTGTAAGTGCCAACCAGTTCTTTTGTTTTCCTTCTCTGTAATATTTTCAATGTAAAACATGTCTTATTTTTTAAAGTTGGGCCCATCCCATTCTCATACACAGAAAATCCCCTCTGTTACTGAAACACCTTGCATATTATGGGCTACATCCTCAAATCTACATAGTTAGCTGGAATTTCTTCATTTATGTCATTTGGATACAGATCAGCCCCTCTCTGTATTCAGTGCAACTGAAATACAGCGTTTTCTGGAGCAGGTTGGCAGCAATGATGCTATAGGTATCATTCTAGTGGAAGGTGTAGCAGCATCACCATGCCCTGTAAAGGCAAGCATGACCTTGAGAACAGACGGGTCTCCAAACTTTAACACTTCCTTCCAAACTACTCCAAAATTTCATTAGCATGAATGCTAATTCTCTTTTGGAAGCATACAAGTCTTAATTCTGTTGCTCCAGGCAAGACTTTTAAACCTATCACTTATACAAGTAAACTGTCCCCTCTAGTTTTTCCCACTTACATGTAATGCCACACTGGAAAGCTTATTGGTTATATTCTGGGTCTGTGAACCAGGCAATTGCTAGAGATGGGTTGGCAGGCTAATATGGACTGAGGTAACACCAGCAGCAAGGTTAGTTTTGGTTTTGACTGCCTCCTTAAGGGAAATACCTCAAAATGGTTCTTTTATATATTTACTGCAGGTCACAGTAGTCAGGTTTTTGCATGTTTGGCTACCAACA